AGTACAAATAAGAATATAGAGACTTATTTTTCAATAATAGAAAGGTAAACTTGTAAATGTAAAGACAATTAAAAAAAATCATGACGTCACCAGCTATTATGTGGTTTGGCTGAACTTTCCCTCCCTATATTGTAAAAATATCGATGTACCAAAAAAAAAGTTTTGTCACTTAGTACTATAGTCTAGTGATATTCCTCTTCATTTGTAAGTAGGCCTGACAATTTCTGACACAACCCGTTAACCCGACACAAAACGACACAAAATTAACAGGTTATCGGGTCGACACGATAAAGAATTGGGTCGTTATCGGGTAACCCGATAAGCACCTGTTAAGATAATGAGTTGGTCCAGATATACACGTGGGTAACACGATATATAATAAGCAAAATGTTAATTTAATCATTTTATACCCCCAAAAATACTATAATAATTATATATATATATATATATATATATTAAACTAAATTTAAAAAATTTGGAAAAGAAGGTAATATATTTTAATATGGTATAGTACTATTATTTGTTTTTTCACAATTATTTCGGTAAACTTCTCTTTTATTTAGCATATCCTTGCATTTTTTATATTTTTATGTAGACTATTAGTGTATTGGTGCTTTTTTATTAGGCTTTTATTTTGGAGTGTAGATGTAGTACTTAACGGCAAATGTGTTTTTATGTTTTGAAGTAATATTTAAATGGTAATGTGGTATGCGCAAATTTAAGAAAAAAAATGTTTTTATTAACGGGTCATAACGAGTTAGGTCATTTTACCTGTTAGGTAAAGTGACCTGACCTGTTAAGGACCCGTTAATATAACGGTTGCGACACGACAAGACATGTAACAGCTCGTCCCTAAAAATTATGATTTTTATAATTTTAGAAAGTGAATTTATGAAAATGCCCTTTAAGACAAAGTGTTGACTTTTGTTAACTGTTGTGTCACATCACGTAAGGTTATTTTCTTGGCGTATCCTCGTAGTACTTATGCTCTGACCTCATGTGTGAAATGAGTTCATTCCTGCTCACAGCGCACTCTGGTTTTTAGGTACTTTTAGGCTTAAATTTATTCACATCTTCCACATCACTATACTTTATGACTTCGTCACCTTCTAGGTATCGGCCAGCACATCTCGATTCAGAGTCCTAGTGGACATTATGGGTTGGGGTGTGTCACGACAAGTTAAGATAACAGGTGTTACACAAAAACGACACAAAACACCGCAAACACGACCCGTTTGCCAGGCCTACTTGTACGTGAGAGGTCTTAGGTTTGATTCTCACCAAAGGCGAATTTAAACAACATTATTGCTAGCCCATTATGAGGCTAAGTTCATCCCCTCCCCTTAGCGTAATTGTTCCTAAATAATCCATTAAATAAGAGATGTCATTTACCACAATTTAATGAAAATAAACTGATGTGGATAATCAATGAATGGACATAACCCAACATAGTGAATAAAACATAATGAATTACAAAATTCGACTTATCTTAAATTTACTCTTCTTTTCCTAGTTTGAGTGGTAAACGCACAAAACAAAAAAAAATATAAGTTTCATATGCAAAATTTTATTTAAAACAACAAATTTCTTTTGACTAAAAAAAATAATAAATTTCGTTGTTAAATATTTATAAGATATCATCCTTGTGTTTTTAATTTAAAAAAAAAATTCTAGTTGACATGTTCTGTTACTTAGAAGGCTTAAGTTTGTTTGAATAACAAGTTATCATCAATTAATTCATGCACTGCTCATTTGAAAGATAAGAACTTCATTGTTTGATTGTATTTTTATTTGTACGTACTCCTATATTCCGTAGTAATTTTTATTTATCATTTTACAATTGTTCGAGTGGACCTTAATCCTGTTGTGGATATAAATACATAAACTTGCCTTTCAACAGGGGAAATAAGTCGACGACGTATGCATAACCAATATGAGGATGAATTATTGTGGTAGGAAGGGGCAGCACTGGGAGAATGACTTAACTGCAAGTTTGCAACTGAAATTAATACCATTACGTAGTATCCAAACCATATGCTTTTAGTGTAACCATAATAATTCATTAGGGATATGAATTATGATGGTGACACTACGTAATACCACAACTTAACCATAATAATTCATAAGGGATATGAGTGCGTGTATAATCCATGCCAAAAGTGATATTCACGTTGTATGTAAGTTTTCTCTCTAACCATAAGCTCTTAGTGCTTATTTGGTATTTAAGTGAAATTTTTTCTTAGAAAGAGGTAAATTAAAATGTCCAATACTAAGCATAGATTTAGCACAGAGTTGTATGATAGAATAAACTGCTGATTTGGTTTGTAGATTATTACTCGGTTAGAAATTAAGTCCATAAATTATATTTTCAAAAGAAAAGGTCATTGACAGATTGAGCCAAATCCTCATTTTGGTCCATGGAGTTACAAAACGGAAGGATTACAATGATGCGTAACAGTGCAAGTTAGGAACTACATTGATCAATTTTGAAACTCAGAGACCAAAATGAGAAACTGGGTGGGTCATTTGACTGATAACAAGGGACAAAACGATTAAGGATAGTTCATTAGAGTTGATATATCAACCAAAAGAACGCATAGAGGTGCTATCCCATAATCCATTCCATACATAGGCTAGTCCTAGATGCATCCCATTGAAAGTATCATTGTAGAACATTTGCAGTGCTTTAGCAGTTGATCGGTAGTTAATTAGTAGTGTTGTTATAGTACATTTATAACAATTAATTTAAAAGTTTTTTATGTCTTTAAATGTCCTTATCGATCCAAACATAATACAATCTTTGATTCCTTTGTTTCTTTTATGAAAAAAGGATCAGCTCGAAGCTTTGTCACGGAAATCTATTGTTAGAGGTCGATATGACTCACATAGGCTTTTCAATCTCTTTTAGCTACCATTGTGTGATTCACTATCATTAGAAATCGATCCAAGAACATACCTTCTAAAATATAGGCTTGGAATTCGTCCTCAACCACTGGGCCACCTTGTGATGATTGACAATCTTTGATTCCTTGTTATATCAAGTCTATACCTTGTTTATATATACAATTATTACCGATGTAATTTAGTGTATTGCTAATTAAGCACCAGTGTGTGCGCTTTATTACAAATGAAGGAAGTTGAGATTCCATCATAAAGTTAATTGGCAATATTGTGACGCCCAACTTACTTATAAACTCTTGCAATGTTTCTCCTTTCACCAATGTGGAACCCTTTAACGTTCACATGGAGCTAAAAATAATCCCAAAAATCTTGGAGGTGACACGTGGACTTTTAGCCAAGAAAGACAAGATTCCCTTATTAAATGATCAGGGCATCCCATGTGCAGTTCAACATCGTAGGACATGCAGGCAACGAACTACGAATGCTGAATGCTCCCTGCTCGTGGCAAGAAAAAGTTAAGTGCATTGAAGATAAGATTAATTACTAAATCCTATTTTTAATGCATTCCCAATTGAAAACAAACTTTTTTAAGTAAGTAATCCCAATCACATTTATTTTGGGATATCTTCACAATTATTCCAAGATATTATTTACGCACTATCTTGAAAATATTCTCACCAAATTCTACCCTAAAGGTCGGCCATACTCCCTATAAATACATCATTCCCCAACCAAAAACAGGAGAGAGCCTTTCTATACATAGAAAACCCTAAACACTCACTCTTTTTACAGAGACTAACTTAAGCATCAGAGATCAATTTAATCTTTCATTAATCATTTCTTGTGGACCATTATTATCATTAACAAACTCACTCAGAGATGTGGTTGGCCTTTGCCTTCGATTGATTTATGGCTAATTTGAAGATTTGATCATTTGCCTATATAATGTTATATTAAGATTTGACCATTAAACAATGTTCTGGCATTAAGATTTGATCATTTGCCTAAACCTAGTAAGAAAGTATAATTTAGACTACTTATTCTTAGTATTTAATTTTGTAGTGATTTCATTTTACATTGCTATTCGTCGTTTGCCAGGACGGAGCTAGGATTCTTTTATCAGGTGGGCTAACTTTTTTATTTATTTATATTGCATAAGTTAAATTCCATAAGGAGACTCCAATAAATGATCGAACAAGATATTATTGTTGTACAATTAATAAGAAAAAGAACTAGAAAGCAATTTAAAAGGAAAAAAAACTAACTGTATATATATATATAACGTTGGACTCAACTGGTTCAATGAAGTGTGTTGTATTATTACTGGCATTGAGCTTTCAATGTGAACATGGGTGGGCTAACGGTGATTAAATTAATTTAGTTTTTTTTAAAACCAAAAAGTTACATGAGGTAAAATGGATTAGACAATCTTTAACCCTTAGCCTCAAACCTAAAATTTTTAGTTCAGAAAATTTAGGTTTTAATCCAGAAATGGCTTTTCTGCTCAAACTCTTCTAGCCTAAAATTTTAGCCCCAGATTATTAAAGAATGAATTTAGGCTATTATTTATTTTTAAATTAACTTTAAGAAAAAAATAATGTAGACTATCCTAAATTAATTTTATGAACATTTAAACCTAAAAATATTTAAATTCCGATAAATATTGAAAATATCACTAAATCAATACATGAAACTTAATACAAACGACAATTAATAAACCACATAAACTAAATACAATCGATAATTCATAAACTACATAAACATAATAATGATATTCACCATCTTTACTTGGTGGTGGACTTGGGATATAGTCTTGAGATGAACCATCATCTTGAAATATACTCCTTGTGGCATACCTTCGCAAAATTTCCTTTTGCTTATAACGTAAGAACTTCTTCATCTCTGGGGTGTATTTGTTGAGGTCATTCATCATGAAATTACTTTCGAACCTTTCTTGCTCCCTATCCCCTTCGTGCGTAATGGCCAAATGCATTCGAGCCGTTTCTTCCTCCCAAGAGCTATGTCTTTCAGTCAATCTTGCAAATCTGGTAGCAATATGTGCACTAATCGGATCTTGGAACTTCCCATTTCTCTTTGCCTCAGTAGCCACAAAAAGTGACATGCTTAAGGCTAATCCTAGCTTCTGCATTGGTCACTTCATCATCATAAGTGTATGCTTTAGGATCAATATCAAAGTTTCTGGGAGGACCATCATCAGCTCGAGCTCTCTTCTTCTCAAGCGTCAAAGTATCCATCAGCTTATCATTGATTCGAATGACGGGTTCAACCATGAGATCAGTAATAGGCCTCAGCCTCGGTATCTACCCCTAATTTTTCCATTCCACATAGAGGCTTTTAGTGCACCCACATAGCCTCATGGGTCTTTTAAGCATGGATGCAGAGGGATTCTATTGCTTCAGAGGAGTTGAGTAGAATCTTTATTTTTATGCCGGCACACTGTCTTAGGATAGTTGCTTCAGATGAGCTAAGTAGAATTTCCATGTAACTTCATCATTTAATGAAATGAAAATGTCTTCTTTTCTTTACTTTAGCTTGTACTCAACTATCATGAGAATATTAATTGTCTTTAGATCTCTCAAATCATTTAAACCTCTTCAACATAGCAATCCCTAACATCCCATAAGGTTGGATGATAATTCTTCAGAAATTTAGCATTGACTGGATGTTTTTATAAGTTTCCCTCTAAATCGGCCAAATAATAACCCCTCTATCTAGTGCTTGATGAATAATGAAAGGACCTTCCTAAGTCGGACTTCATTTCCCGAAGCCTCTTACTTGGGCTCCCAAGGGCAAGACCGCTTTCCATACTAAGCCTCTTTCCTCAAAAGTCTTCAATTTTACCCTTTTGTTGTATGCTCAGGTAACAACTTTCTTTCATTCTTGAATTTTATTTAGAGCTTCGATTCAGGCTATATCAAGGTCCTCAATTCCTTAACATATAGCCTGGATATACTTTTCACTGTGTAGGCCATATTGATTTTGAATTATGACCGAACTTACATTGATTTCCATGGGAATCACAACATCTTGCTCAAAAGTCAGAGCGTAAGGTGTAGTCCCAGTTCCTGCCCTTTTGGAAGTTCTACAGGCCCACAATGTATCTCCCAACTTCTCGTGCCACTTCTTTGAACTATCTGCCACCATTCTTTTGATAATGTTAACCAAGATCTTATTGCTGGTTTCTGCCTGACCATTTGACTAGGGGTGGTAAGGACTAGACCGAATCATCTTTATCTTGAACTTACTTGCGAACGCTTTTACCTCTTTTGAAATAAAAGATGGCTCGCGGTCTGTGACAATTGTCTCGATCATTCCAAATCTGTGTAAGATCTTAGTTTCAATGAATTTTTTAACAGTAGCTGAGGTTATGGTTTTTACTGCTAAAGCTTCTACCCACTTGGTAAAGTAATTCGTTGCCACAATTATGAATGTGTGTCCCTTGCTAGAAGCTGGATGAACTTGCCTGATGAAGTTCATTGCCCATCCTATGAAGAGCTAAGGTTTAACTATGGGGTTCAAGAGCACTAAGGGTACATGTTGGAGTGGTCCATGTCTCTGGCATTCTTCACATCCTCGGGCATAAGCTTTGCAATCTTTCTCCATCTTGGGCCAAAAATAGCCATATCTTCTTACTAGCCACCTCATCTTGGTTCCGGCTTGGTATGCTCCACAGATCCCCTTATGGACTTCGGCCATGACTCTCATAGATTCCTATTGGCTTAAACATTTAAGCAATAACCCATCCAGAGTCTTTCTTAGCATATTCTTTTCCCACAACACATATCTAGTGGCTTGTTAATTGTTCTTTTTGCTTATGGGAAAAAAGGGATCTTCCAAGTATTGAATGATGAGTGACCTCCAATCCTCTATCTTAGGCTCTTCAGTCATTATATCCAAGTTGAATCCTCTATCAAAGATAGAAGTGAGATTTATCTTTTGCACTTCTACTTCTATCTCGAACCCTCTTTCTTGGATCTATAATCCAGCAGCCAATTGAGCCATTTCATTGGTTATTTTATTTGATTCCTTGGGGATATGGCTGACTGAAATTTCATCACCCCAATATCTCAATAATTGCATGGTCGCCAAGTAATAACCAGCCATAGTAATGTGTCTGTATTTGTATTCTCCATTTAGCTGGTTGATTACCAATTCTGAGTCACCAAATACTTCGACCTCAGTTGCCCCTAACTCCATCAGAATTTCTAAGCCAATTATCAGTGCTTCATATTTTGCCCGATTGTTGGTAATCTCTTGATAATCTAATAGGAATGAATAACAATGGTGGAAGCCTTTGGGATCGATGATGACAATCCCAGCTCCCGTAATATTCTGAGTGCAAGATCCATCAAAATATAGTCTACAATGAGTGATCCAGATGCTAGTTATTCTTTTTACTTCTTGCTGGACCCATTCTTCCTTGCCCAAACAGGCTCTATTTGGCGGGATCCATACACTTGCTGCTTCCAGAGTCCCTAAAATGTTAACCATTTCCTCTTGAGACTCTTGGTTCTCGGCTAAGAAGTCTGCAATTGCCTACCCATTGACTACCCTTTGAGGCACATACTGAAAATTGAATTCAGACAGTGCCATAATCCACTTCCCAATTCTTCTTGTCAACATTGGTTTTGACAGCATATATTTAATCACGTCGATCTTGGCAATGATATGGATGTGGCAAGGCAATATGTAATGCCTTAACTTACAAGCAGTAAAGTCTTAACTTACAAGCAGTAAAGTACACAACCAAACATAGTTTCTCCACAGAGGTATATCTTGTCTCTACCTCAGTAAGGATTCTACTAAGGTAGTATATAGCTTGTTCCTTTCCTCCTTCATTGTTTTGGGCTAGTAGGCTCCCAATTGAACTCTCCAAGGTATAGATATAAAGCTTCAACGGCTTCCCCCTCTGAGGTGGCATAAGCACTAGTGGTGAGGCTAAGTAAGCTTTTATAATGTCGAAAGTCTCTTGGTGTGACGGGCCCCATTCAAAGTCTTCCTTGTCTTTTCACCTAAGTAAAAGGGTTAGTGGTTGAATCTTGCCCGCTAAATTTGCGATGAACCTCCTCAAGAAGTTGATTTTTCCTAGTAGCTTTTGTAGTTGCACCTTATTGGTAGGAGGAGGTGTCTCCATGATTGCTCGAGCTTTGTTCTTGTCGACCTCCATTTCTTTTTGGTGAATAAGGAATCCCAAAAAGTTGTCTGATCTTACCCCAAAAGCACACTTCTTTGGATTCATTTTTAACTTGTAGATCCTCATTCTTATTAAGGCTTGTCTGAGGTCGATTATATGTTGCTTTTCAATTTTGGACTTCACCACAATGTCATCAATATTTACTTTCATGCTATGGCCAATTAGGTCATGAAAAATGGCGTTCATTGCTCTTTGATAAGTTACACCAGCATTTTTTAGTCCAAATGGCTTTACCAAATATTCATATGCCCCAACATGACTTGGACACCTAAAAGCTGTTATATGTATATCTTATTTAACCATTTTTATTTGATTGTATCCCGTATTCCTATCCATGAAAGACAGAACTTTGTGCTTAACAACTGCGTCTATGGATAGGTCGGCTATGGGCATAGGGTATTCATCTTTAGGTATGGCTCCATTAATGTTTCTATAGTCAACACAACATCTAATTGCCTTAGTTAAAGCTTTCAAAACAAGTATAATGTTGGCCAACCACTAAAGATATTTGGAAGGCCTAATAAATCCAGTCTTTACCAACTTTTCGATCTCTTCCTTGACCTTTTCTTCAATTTCTTTGGACATCCTCTGTGGTGCTTGTTTGACAGGTTTAAACCCCATCTTAATAGGCATTCTATGTTCTACCAAGGTTGGATCTAAACCTGGCATCTCAGTGTAATGCCAAGCAAAACAATCTTTGAATTCATGTAGAAGGTTGACAATCCTTGCCCAATCCTCAATTTCTAACAAACCACTGATCTGTATTGGTCTTGGATCCTCCTTAGTTCCCAACTTAATGGTCTCCAAGGGGTCTTATACTTCTGGAGCTAGTTTGTCTGGTTCCGTACATAAAAACTCAACCAATTCTGGATTCTCGGGCAAATCCTCTTGTCCATCTAAGTCATATATACATTCAGCCATTTGGATGACTGTTTCTAACTCTTCCCCAAAAGACTATACTTCTCTGTTCTGGCTACTTGAAGCCTATCTGCTCCACTGTTCTTTTTCCATAGCTAAGTTCTCCCTTTCTTGTCTTTTCTCGCTCCCATACACCAACAGTCTTTTTATTAAAGACCTGATTACAACCACTTGGTCCTTCCTTTTCTGTTCTAACATTAATGGTGTTGGGGGTTTGGGATGATATAGGGCCGATCCCATTCTTCCCTTGTAAGGGATAACCCTTGTTCTAGAAGTTTTTGAGCCGTCACCTTAGTTGGGTGGCCGTTCTTATCAACTCATAAACACTGAAGAATCCCAATACAAGGATCATAGAAGTTGGCTTTTGCGATGTTGGTTGTGGGTAAGAATGGCCGTGACTCGACCTTCACCATTTCCTAAAACCCAAGTTCTATTTCTCTTTTTTCATGGTAGACTGCCACTTGTTGATGTAAAGTAGATGGAACAGAGAGACTCTAGTGAATCCAATCTCTGCCTAGTAAAGCTCTATAAGTGGAAGTATAGTCTACAACAAAAAAAGGCCATCATGATTTGATTTGAACCCAAATCGACCTCTAATGGCAGTATTCCATGAGTTTGGGTGATGGCTCCTAAGAAACTAGAAACTGTAAGATCCGTAGGAATAAGATCTTCCTCACTTCTGCACATTCTCTTCATCTGCTTGTAGGGCAACACATTGACCGCGACCTCTCCATCGATCAAGACCCTTTTGAAATGTACCCCTTCTAGGTGAGCAATTACGTATATGGGTTTGAGATGATTGGCTATGGTCAAACTCGGGCGAACAAAAACCATTTTGTCCGAGTATATTCTTTCAGGCTTCCTTCCTGGTTACTCGAGCACGCCTGTCTGACTGTACTCTCCTTGTCTAGCTTCTTCGACACTAACATGCGTCATCATTGGTTATGCTGCCAGGTAATCACCTTCCATCATGGAAGGTTGATCATGCTTGGCCTGAAACATGGCTGATAAAACATATGTCATGTTTACGTGGAAGTTGCTGGGTCCAGGTAGATTTTTCCCCTTGCCCTCAATGTTGTTCATAAATTCCTACAACTAAGCATGTGCCTCATCGGGCAACATTAGCTCAAGTAATCCTTCTTCCTGGGTTATGCCAAAGTTCGGCAGTTGTTCTGGAACTTTGCATATAATTTCTATCAACAATGGTGCGGGTAACCTTTTTTCGGGTGAAATAGTTCCGAAGCAGATCGGTTTTAGGCTCTATCTTGGGGTAGACATCATCATAATATCCTCTTAAGCTCTCATCAAGATTCTCTATTTCCCGGGATAGGGATTTGGCGGCACATGGTCTCTTTCCCTTTCATTTTTGTTGTTTGCCTTCTTTAGCTCATTCTTACTCCTCCAATGAGGTTGATTTCTTCTTTCATGAGGAACATTTTTTAGCTTTACATTCTTCGAGGTTTCCGAAGTAGTGGGAACCTTCAGCAAGTTCACGTGGGCCTTATGCTACCTTTGTACCCTCATAATCATGGAGGCTCCCATCATTTCAGATTATGTACCATCTCTGTCCAACTCGGGCAAGATTCTTCTTTGTGACCGCATTCACGGTCATTCCTTTCATTCTGACATCTCCACCAGTATAAGCGGGCTGGGATGGCCTCGCATCCACCCATCTTGGTATATTGGCCTCCTTATCCTCCACTTCTTCTGAAGCTTCATAGTTCCTGAACACTTCTGACAAGTTTTTAGGCTGAGAGTCTCCTCCCAACCTCTGGAAGACATTCCTAGAGGTTTCCTCCTCAACTGCCCGCATGATTCTTATGTGGTTCTCACGTTTTTCTTCTTTTCTCCTTTTAATCAGTTCCTGATCAATGACAGCTCCAACTACTGGTACCTCTAGTTCGCATTCACCTTGACACTTGCTACATAGCACCACTCCTTTGATTATGGCAGCCTTGGGTTTCTCAGGCAGCTTGATAGCTCATTCAATTGGTCTATCAACTGGTTTCCTTTCCGCCTTAACCTCCTACGTGGCATTTTCCTTTTCTTTTCTCTGCCCATGTTAGATTGATTATGCTTATTGGGGTTTGTAGAAAAGAATCAGCATCAATCATTGTATCAGCTCCTAATATCTGTTTTATTTCTAGCCTGCATTACCCCCCTTGCTATCTAATGAAAATAACAAAGGATCAGGCAACTCTGATCTCATGACTTTCTTCAACACTAGTTGATCTACTTTAGATCTTTCCTCATTTTTTTTCTTTATTCTTTTCCTTAAGTAAAGGAAATAGAAGAATAACTAACGTTTCCATAGGGCTGGGTTCTTCCCTCACCTTCTTAGCACAGTCATTCTCTGGAGTAGAGTACTTCAGATCCAGCCTTATTTACCGATGTACTGTTAAGGAAAAGAGTTTGCTTACTTCCTCTCTTGTTTGTAGAGAGTTTCTTTCCATGCTTTTTATGACAGCCATCATGGTGGCCTAGAGGTCTTCATTTATGACCCTCCCTCCTGATTTCTCAGAATGAGTCGGCTTTCCACCAAGGCGGATTCTTGCAAGTCTTCAGGGAGATTTGCCATGCTAGATCTTGGTGTGTACCAGGGTGGTTTTTGTTTTGATTCCCACCTAAAGGTTTGTTCCTTCTTTTATCTCCTTGGCATACAAGATTTGTGGTCCCACCGGGTGTGCCAAAACTATGTTCGGGCAGGAAATCTGGCTGATGGGCATTCCTAGCTCGAGCACACAGCTCCTTGAGGAGTTGGCACTTTGGTTAATTGTCGGGCTCCTGCTTGTCTCAATACTGCAAGAGAAGAACAAAGTTAGTTCTGAGATGTGCCTTTGTAGGGCCTTAAATGTAGGTCTTGAGGCTCACAATCAAAACCAACTAGGTGCTTAGGCGTGCCACTGCCATCTCAGTATGGCAGATGTAGAACAAGTATGTTTTAAGCCGATTACTTGCGCTCCAAGTTATTTTTGACTTCTTGTTTATCAAAGGATTGTTGTAGATGGGTTAAGTCTACATTAAGTTCTTTTCTATGCCTTGAGATCAAGGACTTTTAGTTATCTTGTATGCTCGAAGGGTGAAGATCCAAATCTGATCAAGTCATCAGTTTAATACATTACAATCTTGATAAAACCATTAAATGAACCAAATTTGAGAATTGATGGGGGTTTGAGTCACCAAAGGACTGGAAATAACTTGAATATAAACTGGGGAATGCATTATAATGACAGATCTATTAACTGAAAAATAAAAACAAAGAGAGTCGGACAAGATTTCACCTTGTCGGGCAAGGTTAAACGTCTTGTGGTCTCTTCTTTTTGCAATTTACAAAGGATTAGGTACTAAAGGGGACGACTAGAAAAAAAGTTCATCATCAATACTACAACATTAGGAAAAAGGTAGCAGAGCTTTTACATAGACAAAAAAATGTCTTTCTAAGGAAATCTACGGCTAAAAGGGATGCAGAGTCTAGACAAAGCACGACTTTCTGGGTATTTGCTTGGTTGAGAGACAAGTTGTATGTTTGTTTGTTTGATTGGTTAAGTGTCCTTGTCTTTGGGCCCTCTTCCTCCTTTTATAGACGAATTAGCCCAACTGTCTGTAGCTATGTTCTTACCCGAAAGCAATTGAAGGGTAGTGACTCATCAGTATTTTACTTGTACTGACATTGAAAAGTACTTTTAGGCTAAGAGTAGGTTGATTTTCATCAGTTGTCACTTCTCTTGTAAGCACCTAGCCTTTGCATTAATGAGGGAGAGCCAATTAGTCTTGAGATGGACGATTTGGGCTTGGTGTTGGCTTTCGAGCAAAACTCATTTCTTTAGTCTTTTTGGGCCCTCCTTCCTTTCGGCCTAAAGTTCAAATGTTAACCCAAACAAGAGCGTTATGATGTCATAGTGTTATGTTTTAAAACACAATTGATTTTTCATTTTAGAGCATAACATTAGTAAACAGATACATTTATTAAAGAACGAGTGAAATGTAAGCATGCACTTAGCTAAATTAGTTAGAAGAATGTACTCTCTCCTTTATGCACCCAAGTATTCATCATCTTTGACTTTAATAATAAAGATGTAAGTGAAATAATAACATTACATGACTTGTGAGGTACGGTTGGAACTCAACATAAGCCGAGCGAAGCTGGAAAGTAAGAGCTGGTGAGTGTGGGTCAATCTTTGGCGCGTCGCGTCGCTAATGCTCAAAATTCCACTAGTAAAAAAATGAGGTGGATTGTCTAGCCTCCCATTTTCATACTCTTCTCATCCCCTCCTGTTTGTGTGGTCACAATTAAGTCACGTTAACATTTTATATTATTTTTTTATAAAAATGATAAAACAAAAAGTAATAAGAATATAAAATATTGACGTGACTTAACCGTGACCACATAAAATAAAAAGAGATGAAAAAAGTAGGGTAAATTACATAGTAGCCCATCAGGTTTGATGTCTATTACAACCTCATATAACGTCTTTAAAACATTTCATTTTCATACATCATGTAGCATTTTATTTCAAAATAATACATCCGTTAGATTTTTCGTCCATTGATCTGTTAAGTGCTGACGTAACTGCCACATTTGTGCCACATGGTAATTTTTTTTTTAATTTAAAAAAAATCTGAATATTCTAAATTAAAAAATAAAAAAAAATAAAAAAAGCCTGAAACCCATCCCTCCCCGCAGCCCCCCAACCTACCCACGCCCACCTCTACCTCCAACTCCACTAAAATCCCCCACCCCACCCCTCACCTTCCCGAAACCCCCAATTCTATTTGAAAAAAAAAAAAAAAAAAACCCAGAAATCCCCGACCCATTTCTCCCTCTTCTTCACTCTCTGCACCTCCCTTTCATTCTCTCTTCCCAGATCAACGCCGCCCTTTCCCCATCACCACCGCAGAGCTCTCTCTCTGATCCCTCTGTTCCTCATGGAGGTCCTTCGTCACCATCCGATCTCGCCGTCGACCGAGATTTCTCATCGTCGCCCTGCTGCTCCTGCTCGTTGTCGTCTTCGACGACGAAGATGATGCGGGTGAGGATGACGTCCTTGCAGTTCGGAGGGGATATGGGTTTTGCGCCGGAGGGGTGGTAATGGGATCTGGGTTCGGGGGTGGTCGTATGGGGTATGAGTTTCGCGGGGGTATGGGATCTGGGTTGTTCTCTGGTTTTTTCTTTTTTCCTTCAAAGGTGCAGGTATGGGGTAGGGGAAGATGGGAGCGGGGTTCACGGGGGTGGGGTATTGTTCATGGGTTTTTATTTTTATTTTTATTTTTTTTAATTTAGAAGATTTAGGTTTTTTTTAAAAAAATTAAAAAATTATTATTTTTGCCACGTGGCACACATTTGGCAGCCACATCGGCACAAATGTGGCAGCTACGTCAGCATTTAACAGATTAATGGACGGAAAATCTAACGGATGTATTATTTTGAAATAAAATGGTACATGATGTATGAAAGTGAAATGTTTTAAAGACGTTGTATGGGATTGTAATAAATCTCAAACCTGAGGAGTTACTATGTAATTTACCCAAAAAAGTATGGAAATGAAAAGCAGACAATCCACCTCTGTAAAAAAAAAAAAAAACCAATAATGTAGGAAGTGGACTGTAGAGTGCGAGAGAGTGATGAGTAATTGTACGCTGAAAAAAAAAAAAGCCATCGATTTGATGGATCCATCCATACCTGGACAGAGCCCGGTGGGTGGTTTTAGCAAACCCACTGATTCTCATGCACGCCCACGCTTCTTTATATTCACCCTCACCAACCCATAAATCCGACGAGCTCTCTCTCTCCCTCTCTCTCTGCAACTCCACTTCGATGTTTCAGGTTCATGATGGGAAACTGATTTAGTGCGGAAATAAAGAGAGGAGAGAGAAAAATATATATATTGAGAGAGAGAGAGAGAGAAGACGCATAAATCACAGTTCATGTGACGAGCTAGCTACTCCTTTTGTTTCATATAATTCTGGGTTTTATTCGTTTGTCTTTTTAATTTCTAATCCTGGTTAGCTTCTCGTTTGCTTCCAAATTCTGAATCATTTCTTCTGATGAAAAAACCACTTTTGCTAAACCAAAAATACCAACAAAAATATAAAAAGACATAAAAAGCTGAGTAGCACCAACAAAAGAAGGAACAAAAATACAAGCTTTCTTTGTTTTCTGATGCCGTGACGCATGCACGTCTTGTCCTTAGAGATATGGAGGTCACAGAGTTGTGGCAGCAGAGAGAGAGAGAATCGTTTCATGGAATCGTTTCTGCAATTTCTGGTTTCTGGGTTTTTTCATCTCCCATTCTCTAACACCGCAGAGCTTAAAAGTCTGCAACTTTCTGCCATTTTCTACAGCTTCAAAGCTTGTGAGTAATTTACTGGGTAAAAATCAGATTCAAGTTTTAATTTTGGGTGCATTGAGTAGTTATTTTTCTTGTTTTGCAGAGGGGTTTTATTTTTATAGGATTTTTCAAGAACCAGAGCAAGCAAGCAAGCGAGCTCGCTCCAATGGCGGAAAACGGCTCTCTTCTCTCTCCCAGAGAAAAACACACAAAACTCACTTCCTCTTTCTTCGCGAATCCGAGATTGTTCACCAGCTTCACCTCAAAAGCCGTCTCTGAATCCGACGCCGTAATGAGCCCAACCTCCATCCTCGAAACGAAACCGTTTCTGGGCCTCCGAAACCCCTTCTGGTCCGAATCGAACACCCCCAGAACCCCGGAACCCGAATCCAGACGCATCCACTGGGACAAATTGGACTCCAAAGGCATCGGCCTCGCCATCGTCGACGCCCTCAACGAATCCGACCCGAAACCGTCAAATCCCAAAACTCGAATGGTGATTTTCGGGTCGCAGCTCAAGATCCAAATCCCTCCCCTGCAACCCTCTGTTCTCTCCCCTTCCCGATCACCGAAATCTTCGGCGGATTTCAGCACCAAGACGGAGAATTCCCATCTGGGTTCTTTCTCCTCCGTCTTGTCTCAGTCGCCGGAGAAGAAATCGCTGTTCGAATCCGAGACGATGAATTCGACCCGGGTTTTCACGAGCCGTCTCTCTGTCAGTGAAATGGAGCTCTCTGAGGATTACACGTGTGTGATTTCCCATGGGCCGAACCCGAAAACCACGCACATCTTCGACAATTGCATCGTGGAGAGCTCCGATGGCGTCCCGGAGTTTCCTCCCGGCAGGAAGTCAAACGGGTCAAGCTCTCTGTCTGAGAGTTTTCTCAGCTTCTGTGACAATTGCAACAAGAATCTTGGCCACGGCAAAGATATTTTTATGTACAGGTTGGTCCAATTTTTTGTTCCCTATTATTTTGTCGGCACTCTCTCGAGACACCGGCTTAAAACGATTATTTTTCATATCTCAATCGTAATAATAATCGATGTTCATTATCCGATGCATGATTACCATGTTTGTAATCTTTAATCGCCCCGGTGCTAATATTTGATGAATGCGTTATCAATTTTATTTTTTATTCTTCAACATAATTTGAATTTGATTTCTAATCATTTTTTAATCGATTTTTTCTTTTCTTTTGAGTTTTATCATATGATTCATATATATATTCTTGGATCGTGGTTGCTATCTGTACAACTATTTATGATTAGAATCTTATATTATACTGACTCGAATCATTAATTGATTTTAATACAATTATGGATAGGTAACTACTACTCATATTAGGAGAGGATTATGCAGGGTATCTTCTACTATAAGATAAATTAAACCCATCTACTCCCCTTCAACCAACTAATCAATTTTCTCCATTTTATACTCACTTCAATCATGCAAATGCATTTCATTTTGGTATTCCATAGAAAAAGGGCTTCTGCGGCTGAAAAAATAGGAGCAATTGCTGCTGAAAAGCCAATAACAAATAGACGTGTGTTTGAATAATTGAAATTAAAGACTATCACCGGACACTTGTACATATGTGATTTGGTTCTAGCAGCATTTCATGTTCTTTAAGCAGCGAAATATGGTTCTTATATATAACAGTCGATATTTTAATCTAAATTACGAGAAAAGTAGCTCGAATTTGGTTTCAGAGACGCACAACCTGCTGTAACTTGGGTGCAGAGGGAGCACTCTGCATTAGCAAACTTGGCTAAGCGGAGTTTTGCGTGATTTAAGCATTCGTTGAAATTGTGTTTTGCAGGGGTGAGAAGGCATTCTGCAGCCGTGAGTGCCGTTACCAGGAGATGTTGTTGGAGGAGGGAGTGGATAAACTGGAAGCTTGAGTAGCTGATTGTAATGTGCATGGACCATGGAAATTGTTCCTGACACTTGACTGAAAAACTTCAACAGAGAGAGGGAGAGGGGTACCTTTTTTTTATTTTCTTTTTTTTTTGGAGCTAAATAATAGGGAAGGAAGGATAGTGATTTGTGCCATGAATATAATCCATGAAATGAAGATACATGTAAGACAATATAGTAGTTGAATTTTCTGGGAGAATGTATCTTTTTCTTTTTTGTAATTTGCTTTCTGCTTCCCCTCCTTGTAGAGTTGTAGAGGGAATGAAATCAAAGGCTGAGTTTTGTTGGATTGTTAAATATATAATTGTTGTTGGATTTTCTGTAATGTTGCTCGTTCAAGCACCGATTGTCCAAAAGCACTTGAATTTTTAATAAACATTTCATTGTGTCTTAAATAAAAGCGCTTTCATTAAAAGCCCTATGGATGAAGGTGTTTTTAGCAAAAACGCAAGTGCTTTACCTTTCATAGTCTTGTTTGAGACTGCTTTATTGTGACTTGAACAAAAATACTTGACAACGCTTAAGAATACAAAAGCATTTTGTTATAAACGCTTGCGAATAAAAGTGCGTATAGAACAAATGCTTATCAAACTCCCCTATAGTTTTTGGATTTCAATGCTTGGTGTAGGTGAGGATCATGATGTGTGACTAATTAAAGCCTACACTATATCTGTGTCTAAAGTGTCAATGATTTCGGTTGAAGTTGATTTTTTTTTTCTTTTTTTTTTCATAAACAGTGTTTGTTTCTACATACAATCACTTACTCCTCTTTTTTCTTTTTATTAATCTTTTCCAAAAAAAAAATTTATTAGATTTTTGTGGTAGCTTTGATTAGCCCAATAATGGAAGAGTGCAATGTGCATACTTTAAGGAAAAAGTTTATGTGACTGATTTCAAGGGAATAATTCTCTGTAAAACTCACTTATTTTAAAGGGGACTGGATCCTCTCCGAGGCAAATCCTCATGATCCTGCTGAGCAACAAACATGGACCATTGGATTTCGATCCAACAACTACAATTATTATAACTTTAAGAGGGACTCTCCTGTTTGTAACCGTTAGATAGAAATCCAACGGCCTGTGTTTGTCGCTCAACAGGATCCCGAGGGTTTGCCTCGGAGAGGAACCAGTTCCATTTTAAAGTACCAAATTTCAAAGCATAACAATAAGACACCAGACAACCACCTTTCTTGGTAACACTTTTTTATTTATTTACAAAATAGTCTTGATTTTTGCCACTTTTCTTATCAAATTGAAGTTGTGTTGTCCAAATCATGACAATTGCTTCACATTTCTTAACAAACAACATTAATTTGTATAAACCTGAAAGTAGAAATAATGTTGGCTTTTAGCCAAAAACTCTGTCATTTAAAATTGATAAAAATGATGTCTGAGATTATCCATCGCCAATCATTTTGGTTATTTTGTGAAAATTCTCCTTTAAATTTGTTTGTACCATACTTAGGGCCTCCGCATTTAGATCTCGTATAAATACTCGGATGACTCAAATATAATTATGTAATAAATGACGGGGCAAATATGTAAAAAGGGGAGGAGCCCTTAGTCTATAAAAGGGCCTCCTCACCCTCACAATCAAGGGGCTCTCACCCTCACAATCCCCTCACTTTCATCAGAGAGCTCTCTCAAACTCTTACTTTCTCTAGGGGACTCCCCTCACACTTGTAATTCATACATTCATACAGAGAAACAATATCAACATCAGTGTAGACGTAGCCCAAACATTGGGATGAACCATAATACATCTTATGTTCTTTACTTTTTTGCAGATTCACGGTTAGATTTACGTTGTTCCAAGACCCCTCCGGTTTTGTGCATCAACAAAATTGAAAAAAAACCACAAGTTCAAGTTGAAGAGTTGATTTGATAAAAATGCCCTCAATTTAGCGAAGATTTTTCACGAAATGACCAAAATAATTAACAGTAGACAATCTAATTGACCACTTCTATCGATTTTAAATCACAAAGACCAAAGTGAGGAGGTATGCCAATTTTAGGGACTAGTTTGACCAGAAAGCCAAATAATTTTTAAAACTAAGTAAAGCTAGAGCACAACTATAAATGGAAGATCTTAAAAAAGAGTATCCTCGTCGGATCCTCCAATCATATTCGTTCATCATGCAGCTAGTTTTTTTTAAGTACTATTTATATTTAATTTAAAATAAAAAAATTACAATGATTTATGACCGCACGATATACGATGAATGAATGTGATTTGAGGATCCAGCGAGAATCCTCTTTCGATCTTAAACATCCTTTCATCACATGATATAAGCACTAAGTAATGCTTATAGTTCTGTGTTAGTGTTTTACCGCTTAGGTCATGTTTATATTTCAAACCATGTCTTTTCAAACTTTTGTTTTGAACAATACTTTAAATTTTCAAAAAATAAACTCGTAATGCTTAATCCTCAAATCCAACGAGGACAAATATGTCCTCTTGGACATGTTTACTATGAGGAAAAAAATTTAAAAATAAATAAAGGGGGAAATAAGAAATAAAGATGATCTTATTTCTTTATAAACTTATTAAAGTGGTCTCTCTTGTAGAAGTAGGTAGGATACGGATGTGGGCGTATTATATTCCATATTTTAATCTCGAGATTCTCTACCAAAAGTTCAAAACAAGTATACAATAAATAAAGATAATTCATTATTTCTTATGTTTTGCTTGTGTGAAAAACTAGAAGCGAAGCCAAGACTATGTTGGTTGTATATTGAAAACGAGAGTGGAGCCAATTTTGCCTGCATCATCACTCATCACATCTCCAACTCGAACCAATACTTTATATATTATATAATAAGAAACTTTAACAAAAAAAATTTGTTTACTTTAATGAAAAACCATATTTTTACACTAAAAATCAATCATGATATTATTCATTTTACCTTTTATTTTGTCTTTATCATTAAAACTCAAAGTTTTCAAATCATTTTCATTAGTTTTCCTTATATAATAAGTCAGATATAATGAGAGTGACATTTCACACAAAAAGAACATGTTCTTGAAAATGGACTTATAGCAAGCGACTCTAAAAAAATAAGAGATAAAAACTTACACCTCATATCTCTACAAGAAATAGAAACTTACATGTAAAGGGTGCTATACTTTCCTTCCTGCAACATTTTACTATGTGAGGGAGGTCAGTATATTCATTTTTGCGTTAGAGTCTTAAAGGTAATTGAACCTAAGGCCTATCATAATGCTAAAAGCATTAACTTAACCTCCCTCACTTTTTAACCTACCCTAGATTTGTTACTATTAACTAATTATGTTCGTTATCATATTCGTTATTTTCGATGATACGAAAGTATCCATTTGGCGCCCAGCTCTCAAGGATAGATTCAGCCAACACAAGTTTCTCGCTTACGTCTAAGGCTTTGAACCCTCCAACCACGAGCGGAGCCACCCACAAGGCTAAGGTGGACTTTAGCCCATGCAGGTTTTTTGTAAGTGTAGTGCTATCTACACACTCATTTTTATTTCTCACACATCTCTCTCAGTTTTCGACCTTCGGATTGAATGAATTGATGACGATCAATGACAAAAAATTAATAAGGGTATGTGAATAGCACTATCCTTTTTCAAACTCATGCTTTAATGATTTATGTTAATACATGTAGCCTATATAGCCAACTCAATTCCAATACATGTTATTATTTCATGTTTATTTATTAGATGATAGGTAATAAATAATACTTTTTTATGCTACAAGTAATAAATTAGTTCTATCTTCCCTCCCCCTTCTATCCTATTCATTAAAGAAAAACATCATTTACCCTATGCGATTTAGCCTCCGTACTTCTTACTCAAGAAAAAAGAAGAATTTTCTTTTAGTTCACAATTAAATCCCTATCTCCGTAATTCCTTACTTGTTGTTGCAATTTTCCAATGAATGCAACCTTTGATACGTTCTTAATTGCTTTATTTACTTATTCTTGGTTTATTTAGCAAGTTAATTGTTTATATGGTCCTCGAAGTTGTCGGTTAGGGTTATGATTTCAAGAATGGTTTATATTCTATTGTTGTTCTTTTATATTGATTAAAAATAAACATATGATTTTATGATACTAATTTCAACTAGCCCACCCAAGATAAAAATCATGGCTCCTCTATTGCCTCCAATTGAACCTAAAATCAAACATATAGTGACTTTACACTCTATTGTGATCATCTTTGTCCGAAAATGAGATCTAAAATGAAGAAAAACTTATCAGAATCAACTACATGTCAGGGCTAGCTGTGATTCGCAACCTAAGACCTAATAAGCCGGTCAATCAACATCAACATCTCCTTATAGCTTATAGACATAAATGGATATACGTACATTCGGTGACACCATAGATTTTCTCCGCGATAAGAGAATTTCTATACTTTTATAAATCGATAAAATGATTTTTTTATTTTAAATTAATAAAATAAATGATAAAAGAAACAAATCATTAAAAAATGCAAACGAGGCAGAACATTGTTTTTACCTTGAAGTAATAATTGTCTAAATTAAATTGGGCCTGGATCCGGTACTTTTTATCATCTTTGAGTCAAGTTGGCCCAAAGGCACTTTGTTTGGGACATGGGCTGGTGTACTGAAGCACTCATGGGGCAAAGCAAAAGCCTAACGCGTGCATTTGTTGGCTTGGGGGGGGTACTTACGTCTTTCCATTATCCCTATACAGAAAGATTAGAATCATCACACGAAAGAAAAAGCATGCAAGTACACTTTTGGTTAGGGGTGGGTTCAAAAAACCAAAAATCGAAAAAAACCGAAAACCGAACCGAACCGAAACCGAAAAAATCGAACCGAACAAAAAAATCGAACCGAATTGAAAAAACCGAACCGAACTGAACTCTTTTGGTTCGGTTCGGTTTTGGTGGTCTAGAAACCGAATCAAACTGAATCGAATCGAAATAATTAAATTAATATTTTTTTAATTTTATTTATTTAATTATTTGTTTTTATTATATTAGAATATGATACTTCGGATTGCTGCTTTGGTAGGACTTGTTTGCTTTCCAATTCAATTGTCTTCTCAGCTTCTCCATCTACAACAAAAATTAGAACTTATACCATTACATGCAATATTTCTAGTTTATATCATTAAGTGCAACACATATATAAGAACACATATCTCAACTGCACTGCAGTTGATTAGGGAAAGCAAACAGCGTATAAAAGTCTCATGAGTTTATTAAACACCATGAGATCAAAAACAAAATTCAAACTTTCTCACCTATGGCCAAGTATAGTAGCTTCCTTGGCCTAACAATTTTGAAAAGTATATCAATATATTCAAAAATATTGATGAA